TACTTTAATAGCCTTTGCATTTAGACAACCACTCCAATGCCATTTTTATCTTTTATCCCTTCATAAGCTGCCTATTCTTTTTGAAGTTGTCCTCTCTCTCTGTCTCTGTCTGGGATATAAACAAAATATACTTGAGTTCCAGTGTTCTAGATGGTGTGAATTTGCAGGTACCTAAAACCTGCAATGTTTCTGATCTGAAAGGAGAAGACTTTGGGGTTGGGTGGGGGTGGGGGAGATCAGCTGCCACCCCCAGGGATGTATCTTCCAGGAAAGAAGGAAGGAAACTTTCTGCCAACCATGCTTGCCTTAAGGCAGGTAAATAGCATGTGAAGAAGTTGAGGGAGAGGGAATAATACCGCTGAGAGGGTATATTTCATAAGGCTGTGAAATAAGCAGCTCCAAATTCCTCAAGTGGAACACTTCTCCATTTTCTTGGCTAAGCCACTTTAATTCATCCCTGTGCTACACTCATCTTCTATCACTGGCTCTTGACCGACAATCCAATTGCACTTGACCTGACCTAGGCGAGCCATGCTTTCAACACCACAAACACTGTCTTCCCTTTGTACCAGTACTATGAGCGGGTGTGAGAGGCCTACCTACTGTATGTCAAATCAGGCATGCATTTGAAAATGTCACCTGTGATAGTTCACCTGTCGTGATGCCCCCAAAGAATCCTGGCAAAGGCAGCCTTCCCAGTCCCCTCCCCAAGTCCAGCTCCCTGACCTGGAGTCTACGAGGAGCTTGGAATGGAAGCAGCAGCTAAAACTCTTGCTACCTCCAAACACAGATTGGAGATTACAAAGGGACTCTTCTTACTTGGTACACTACTCCACCTCCTCCCCTGAGCGCTTTGCTCACCCCATTAGTATAGACAGTACTGAGTTAGCCGGTGGACCAACAGTCCACGCAAGGTAGTGTCTGGTGAAGATCTGCAGGGCCTGCAAAGTGCTGCAGCTCCGCCAGGTGGTCTGACTGAGAAGGCAGCCTGCTCTACCATGCCGGTACAGGCAGTCCAAGTCACAAACAGCCTGTACTTATGAACAAACTGCCATAAAGCCTATTAATTTTAAAAAGTTACCATGGAAAATCATCATAACCACAGAGAGAGAGGAAGTGAAGGGGGAGAGAGGGAGGCCTCCAAAGTATCACCATAGAGAGAGAAATGAAACAGTAGAGAGAGAAACCTTTAAAGCAGGGGTCTCAAACTCGCGGCCCGCGGGCCAATTGCCGGGACAGGCGGGGCACGAGGGAGGGGCCCTGCGGCCTTCAAAGTGCCGGCGGTGCCCGGGCTGGCATCCGGATGAGCGGCCCACCACCGCCGCGGTGGTGGAATACTTGATGCGGCCCAGCCTCACCCAGCCTCTACTTCCAGCGGCCCCCAGGTAAGTTGAGTTTGAGACCCCTGCTTTAAAGCATGCCTTCCTGCTCTGCCCATCCGGAGAGGGAAATCCCTCTTCCTTTGTTGCAAAGAGGCATCACTGGTGAGTCTGGGTGGGAGGAGGTGGCGATATTCGTGATTTTTCTCCTTTCCTGGGAGTCCTGTGCCTCTAGCCCCCGTGAATGTGGAGGGTCAACTATACATGATTCAACACGCATATAAATTCAACTTAAAGATGAATTTCCATTTTCTCAGGAAAGGGACTCGTTCGTAATCTGGGGCTGCCCATATTTGCAAAGTCAGCTCCAGATGTGTACGTGGTTGTAGGATTACCCTCAGCCCATTCAGGCAGATCCGCTGAGGGTGAAGGAAACTCATACAAAAGGCTTCCCATTCCTTATGTCCCTGACTTTGCATCTGCCTCCGGTCCTGCAATGCCTTGCCTGTGTTTGACTCTCATCTGTTTCTGATCCTCTTTCTGCCACTGGTCCTTCCATGCCTACCTGTATGTGACCTCGGCTTGCACAAAGACTTAGTTTTCACCCCACCTCTAGCCCAGTGCCCTGGTCTGCTATCCCTGAAACTTGCCTGCCAGAGCTGACATTTCCACTGTAAATGAATGGCCCTACCTATACACTTACAGAGACAATTAAGATGAAAGGAAAGACAGGACAAGGCCTTTTTAGACTTTGCAAACGTAGAGAAGCAAGTAAATGCCGATGCAGCATTATGGTTAAGAGCACAAGCTGTTGGCCAGGAAGTCCCATCTCATTTCACTAATTCACTAAGTAGCCTCAGGGGACACGCAATCTTCTCCGCTCCTGCAAGGTGAGGACCATAAGACTGGCCTACCTTCTAAGGCTGCTAATGTACCTCAAGCACTCCAAACACTTTCACACGCGCTAAAGAAATGCGCAGCTTTTTGCAAGGATGCACACTGGGGGAGGGTAAACAGTTTTGCTCATTTGGTATGTTATTACATGAGTCACATTAGATCAAAATGCATCAAGTGGGATCATGCAGGAATTCCTGAAGGGCAGATTTGGCCTCAGACCACCACAGTGAGAAAAATGCTCAAGGAGAGGAAGAAAAAGAGCAAGGGAAAATCACCACCAGCAGCATGCACTGACGCTCTGCAGCTGCCAGCACAGATCACAGATGTCTGTTCAGCACAGGGTGTGTTTGAAACTGAGTCATCAGGCATGTGAGCAAAGCCGGCTTTCAAAGCTCTCCCCTTCAGGGCCAGCCCGTTTCCAGGGTCAAAGGACAAGGTGGTAATGCCTTCAATCCTGCAAGTACTGATGTCAACCGAACTGGCAGCCCAGGGTGGCGCTACATACCAAAAGATCTGAGCCTCAGAACCACGGGGGGGGGGGGGCATACATTCACACACGTACTTTTTTATATATTTTTTAGTCTCTCTCTCTCTCTCTCTCTCTCTCTCTCTCTCTCTCTCTCTCTCTGTGTGTGTGTGTGTGTGTGTGTGTGTGTGTGTGTGTGTGTGTCTTTAAAGATCTCCTAAGAACTACCCTATTTTTAAAAAGGGATGCATGGACAAGGGAGAAGAGGATATAGGGTGTGTGTGTGTGTGTCTGGACAGAGGTGGACTCAGGCAGAAAGTATTAAATTGAACCAGCAAGAGGCAAAATGGCTGCAAAAAGCCAGCTCATCATCAGATGAATACTAGGAGCTTCATCTCTTTATTTCAGCAGGTGCCCCTGGTGGGGCAGATGGCTTTCCATGGATCTGGAGCTCCAAACAAAAAATCTGGGGCTCCAGCCCTAGCGGGCTGCCCCTAAACTGCCTCTGCGGGCAGCTGAATCCAACACTGGTGACCTGACAGAGTCTTCCACCACCTGGAGGGAAGCAGGCTAGTTTAGGGGGTGCATGCCAGGCCCTGCGGCCCTCTCAACCTTTGCTGCTGCTTGCTCACTCTCCCCACTCTCAGGTCCCTCTGTCTGGGGAGGCTGCTTCATTCTGCCTCACAGCAGAGCCGGCCCTGCTTTCCAGGACCTGGAAATTAAAGCCATCTCATATTACTCATGTTGGAAGATGGCTGCAGATATGCTTTCCAAGGAAGTGGAGGCATCTGTCTCAGCAGAGCAAAATGCAGGCAGAGGTTCAGGTCTCCTTGAGAAATGAGGGATGGGTATAAGTGGATTTGCTGTATTGCCTTAGGAGAGAATCCTGCCCCCACACTTCTTCAGGCCTTCACTTGTTTTGCAGTGTAAGCGGCCTCCACCAACACATTTGTCTTGCATTGCTACCGATTCACAAAACCTGCTGCGACATACTGCTTTAAACCCCTGTGGTCATCCAGGTCACAGAATGGATGTGCAAGAATGCGGGTTGTTATAGTAATCCCAAGGGCACAGCAGTCCTGCCAGGGCTGGAAATTAAATACAGTTATGTTATAACAAGAGGCTCCGGATTGAGTAGACTTACTAGGGCATGCTAGAAAGGGCTTGGGCTAACGGAGATCTTGCTCGCATCCTGCTTGGGTAAATTCGTGCCAGCTGATTTGCCACCATGCGTACACTGGAGCCCACTGGACTAGCTGGACCTTTGGTCTGATCCAGCATGCCTTGCCTTATTTATTTTTTATTTTTCAATTTATATCCTGCCTGTTTCCTACAAAAGGGCTCAAGGCAGCTTACATCATTCTCCTCCTCCATCTTATCCCCACAACAACCACCCTGTGAAGTAGGTTGGGCTGAGAGTCTGTGACTGGCCCAAAGTCACCCAGTTGGCTCCATGGCCAAGCTGGTTAGATGGTGAAGTGCTTTGGTCCTACTATGTTTGGGGGCCTTGCCACACATTCTGCTGAGTCTTTTCTCCCAAATCCCTGTCTTGAATGCACCCTCCTCTTCCCCTTGGGAGCAGGGGCCACACTAGGTGACAAAACCATCAGGGGCTCGGGCCCACTGACCCAAAAAATGCGCAGATCTGCCCATGCTAATTTGCATGTGCTCTCAAGCTGGTGTTTGAAGGACCCCGTCTCCTAAGGGCACCCTAAATTGTGAGAGCGGGTTTTGAACAGGGGAGAGGACGGTTATTCGATCCCAGAAAGACAAACTCGGGCAGCAAGGCTCAAGGGCATGCAGCAGGGGGCGCAGGTCGTACGACGCGTGGCTCGAAAGCCGGCTAACGGGGGATCCGATCCAGTGGGCTCCCGTACCTTGACTTCAGTGCCTGCGGACGGCAGGGCGGTGGCGCGGGGCTCCAGGCCCCCGGAGCCAGGGCTCGGCCACAGGCCAAGGGCGCGTCTCCTCGCGGCGCTCACGTGCTGGGCTGGCCGCTCGAACCACAGGCCGAGCCAACCGCAGATAGGCGGGCTGGCCAGCGGAGGCTCAACCCAGGAAGCAGTAGGACCCAGCAGCGTCCCGGCAGGGAGAAACTCTGGGAGTGTCTCGAAATAAGGAACTGCTGGCGTTGCTGGCCACGCGAAGGAGCCGCCGCCTCGACCGCGTAGGGAAGCCGAGGCGGGAACCGGCTTTTCACGACCTGCCAGCCTGATGGGGCGGTCTGTGCGTGTCCTTTCAATCCTCGCCGCCCGAGTGAAGCAGGGAGGACCGGCCGCATGTGGGACGTTGGCGGTTGGAGGTGCTTTTTACGCATGCACAGAGATCGAGTGCCGACTGAAAAGCAAGTCGAGATTGCGCGCTCACCGCGGCAGGGAGGTGTGTGGGGAGCGGGCAAAATAAAGTTTCCAAGAGGCTTCCCAGGATCCTGACGTCAAGAGAAGCAATGGACGGGGAGCTCTCCAGCGGCTGCGCCAACAACGGCGACCAAGAGAATCCTCTGGCAAAAATCGCCCCGGCGCCGGACTTGACATCTCCGAGTCCCTTTAAAGTGTACAAGCGGCGCTGGTTCCTGCTCGCCGTCGTCTGCCTGGTCAGCTCTTCCAACGCGATGGTACGTCGTTCAGTGACTCTTTCTCCCCGCCGCCCCGAGCCCCGATCCTCGGGAGGTTCCTCCTGGGCTCGGATCCGCCGCGCAGCGGCCCCGGATTGCCCGGGCTAGCCCAGCGCGAGCACGTCGCAGGCGTCGCGAAATTCTGGCTGTCCGGCGGGGGGGGGGGGGGTCCGAGGGAAAGCGGAGGCGCGGCCGTCCGCTGGGCATCCCAAACGGGCATCCCAAGCGGTCACAGTTATACTATTTTAACATAAAAATTATCTGCTGCTGTGGGCTTCTGGCAGCCTTGAACTTGGTTAGATTCTCTGCCAAGATAATCATGTGTAATGATACCAGTGGTTTGATCTTCAGTTCATGATGGGTTGCAGCGGGGAAGCAGCATCAAGTGCCGTTTTAGTAACATAAGAACAAGTCCTTAACATGGCAAACAGCAATGAATGGCGGTCCGTGCATTTCACAAGCACATTCTGGGTTTTTCCAGATAGCCTTTTGTGTTTTCCCAGAGGAATAGCAGAGCAACAACTTGGCGAGTGCCCAGTCTCTACCACCTACTTAATCCAGTTATTAAGTTTATCTGTCTAATTAGATAGCTTCCACTACACTTATATAGACTCTGGTAAAAAAGAAAATGGTCTTGTGCTCTGGACTGCTTTGCATATGGATTAACTGCTTAATTAGGCAATTAACCAGCTTGCCACACTTGACCTCTCCTTTGTTTTCACTGTGGCACAGAAAAGCAATTAAGTTCTAGTGAGCTAAAGAAGCCCTTCTTGGTTTGATGCAGTGCAGCCGATCTGTGCTCCAAAAATCCTTGGTGTTGAAAACAGGCCCTGATTCCGTGTGGGGGAAACGGATGAGAAATATCTGGATGACTGTTGACCGGTGGCCATGTGGACTCTTACATGAACATGTGAACCAGCAGCATTAAAAAGAAAACATTGTGGAAGTTGGAAATCTGATCGTTCAGGGCTGGTTTACACAAACGCATGTCAACAAGTCTCTTGTGTGTTCAGAAACTTTTGAATTCCCTGTAGGCACTGTTGGTCCTGCCAGACACCTGTGATGGTATCTCCCAGCAGCACCAGTGCAAGGAAGGAAGGAAGGAAGGAAGGAAGGAAGGAAGGAAGGAAGGAACAAGAATGTCATCATCTCTTTTCTTCCAGAAGAAGATTCCCCCTTTAAATGCTAGAGTGGTTTTGCGACTCATAGAAAGATATGCCTAGATGCAAGTTTTGCAACCTTTTTTATGCTTGTCTCTATCCCCTGACTTGTGCATGGCAGTAAAACTTCCCTACCCAGGAGATGCAACCGGAAGGATCTCACGGTGACAGATCTTTTCTGCCCACAAGGATTCATAAATAGTTTTAATACAAATTAATTCCTTCTAAGAGCAACTTCATTTTTTCAAACAAGTGGTTTAATTCACATGATGCCTGGCATGCACCCCGATAACTAGAAAAATCTGAAAGCAGGTTGTGTGTGCACACACACCAAACCCCTCATTGCACCTGGGGTCTGCTTAGAGGGCCCCAGCAAAATCCTAATTCCTGTTTGCATTAAATTGCCCAAAACCCACAGTCTGACTTACCGTTTGTTCACAGGGAGTGGGCTCTGATCAGCTTCGGTATTTTTTTTAAAAAGACATCATCCCAAAGAGAGAGACTCTCAAAGCTTATTTTAAAGAATGTCTTGCTGTGCCCAACTTCTTAGGCCAGCTTTATGAAGTGCACAAGTATCCTTACTAATCCTCCTGTCCATGAACATGCATTTCAATAATCTATATTTCTAAGTGGAACAGAAATAATCTGTTTTGGTAAAGTAACCTCGCCTAGCTGGTTCCTGCATTCATTGGGAGACAAGCATTTTCAAGACTGACTGCACAATCCTGTATAGAGCTACTTAAAAGTAGCACCCATTGAGTTCAGCAGTGCTTACTCCCAGGTACATGGATAACAGTAGGGTGGTATATGTAATGCACAGTAGCAAACTTGCTACATTAATGTTTTCCTCCGTTACATTACAAAAATGCCTCTTTTCTCCTCCATCTGCAGCTATGGTTGACATTCGCTCCTGTGGCCGATCAAACAGCCAAGCGATTCCACACCACAATGGACATGGTCAACTGGCTCTCCATTGTGTACCTTGTGATATCGGTTCCAGTTGGGTTCCTTGCAGTATGGATTCTGGACACTGTTGGGCTCAAATGTGCTGTAAGTTGAAATGGAGATGGATGTGATCTTGTTTATTCCTAGGGTGGTCTTCTCATAGTGCGCCCCAGAGAACTTTAACCTGTTCTGAAAGGTGAAGTCTCTCTCCGAAGGCTTAGGTATTGGTAGTAAGAGCTTAAAGTGAGAATATGGTGGTACTTTTTTGGTATTTTAGCCCCCCATCCCTTGCCCCCAGCCCAACCCACTGCTAAAATACATCCCCTGAAAGCTTCTCAAAAACTGAATTTGGACCGAAAGGGGCTCAGTACCTCCATGTTAAATGCATGTATTTGTACTTCTTTCCTTTTCGGAAAGGTAGCAGGAATGGAGGCCTCTAGTCTGACTCGGAAGCCTAAGACAGGCTTGGAGCCCTTTCTTCCACACCCTTTTCCTGCTGGAAAGCTGCCACTCTGACTCCACAGTCATTTGCTGCAGGAGGGAAGCGGCCAGCAGCCCAGACACCAGCTTCTCTTCTGGGGTAAAAATCAGCTATGGCTGGGCTGATTTTCACTGGGACCATGGTGTGTACAAAGTGGGGAGTGGAAAGGATTCAGCAGTCACAGCCCCAATCTGGATCCGAGCTCCCATGCTGCCTAAAGATATACAGATGCAATCCCACACTGGAGCTGGCTTAACCGGGCTGGCCGAAGTGGATGCCACCTCCTCCACATGGCAGCCCCTCCAGCCTCCTAAAAAGCCACACAAAAGACTAGGACACTCCGCTGAATGAGGTGAGCCGTGTTGGGGTGGCAAGACTGAGCAGAGGAACACTTGGTGAGCAAAGCCCTTCCTCTCATTGAAGGCTGTTCGAGCATCCAACTCTCAAGGTATAGTTCGGCCCTGAGTGTGCATCCTAGAGCGCACCCCAGAATCCTCTGCAGTGCACAAGTGTTGTGCCAGATCATGACTTGGTGCCTGCTCTTTGCCACGAATGTCCCAAATGCTGGGGGAGAATCCTCGGCTGTGGATGTCATTGTTCCATGAAACAGATGTGTGTAATTATTTTGTTATTGTTGAATGTCTTTCCAGGCTGCTGTTTAGGGCCATGCCATCACAGGATGGGGGTGCACAACAGGGAAAATGCCTAGATATAATGTATACATTGAAACAAAAAGAAATGGTAGATCTAAATGAAACCACAGGATTTCAGTACAGAAAAGTGAGACAATTGTGTGTCCTAAGGTATTTTATGGAAAGGCCTGCAGTGAAGGGGTGAAGCCTAATTAATTCAATAATTTCAGAACTGTGGGTCCACCACTGTGAAGTCCCTGCCCGCTTACCTGCTCTTATCGGTGGGCACATGAGCCTTGATGCTCATCTCAGGGTCATGTGCTTGCAGTGAACACAGGGAAACCGATTGCATAATCAAGGACAGGCCCAACTTGTGGTTAGCTTGAATGTGAAGCAAGTTGGAAGCCCGAGCCAGTTGCATCTCCAGATCGACTGGCTGTGGGGAATCCCTCAAACCTGCGCAGCTCTACATGGCAAGATCTGCATTCTACATGCTTAACTCTCCCTCGTTTTTGTTCAGAGATGAACTGGCATTTATATGGGACTCCTCAAGAGTGCAAAGCCCTTTCCATACATTCGGCACCATTCTGGCTATTGGCCTCCAAAGCTGTTCAGTATTAAAGTCATCCCCCATTGCAAATTTGCAAGTGAGCAAGGGTTTCACACCCCTCCCTCTGCACCAACATTCAGCGCCTATAAGAGGGATGGTGCACCCAGCTCACGTCACCTGCTGAGTCAGGGGTGGGCACTCGGTGCATCAACATTTGGACACAGCCCTTTTCACCATCGTACCTCCATGCCATGTGCTGGGAGTGGCATTCGGATGCCTGGCAACTCACTTGCTTAAGGTCAACCAGCGAGTTTATGTTGGAGGGCATATAAGCCGGAAGAGCTTATGGATTCACTTCGTAGCCACTCTGTCCTGCTGTTTGCTTCACATCCTCCCAGTCTTATAGTTACCTACTAACAAATTGGTTTGATGAACATATTAAAGGAACACCGAGAGGGCCACCACCTTCCAAATGAGGAGGCCCTTGACGTCGGATCTGAGAGCGTATCCGAGCAGCAGGACGGTTTTAGTACTGCGTGTGTCATCTGGTGACCCTTTCAGTTCCTTCTCTTGCAGGTGCTCCTCTGTGCCTGGCTGAACATGACAGGAAGCATCATCCGCATTTTCAGCGTTCTCGACTTCCTGAGCCTGGGATCTCTGAACTTTGCCTACCTCCTCCTGGGGCAGTGCCTTTGCGCCATGGCCCAGCCACTCATCATCTTTTCACCCACCAAACTAGCAGCCCTGTGGTTCCCCGATCACCAGAGGGCCACAGCCAACATGATCGGCTCAATGTGTAAGTACCTGGGTGCTGGTGAGCCTCCCTTGGTTGCTCTGGAGCTGTGGGGTTGCAAGAGCAGCTTAGAGGCTGAGCAGCTGACCATGACACCTCCGGCTTTGCCTCTAACAATGCTTTCTGCTTCCATCTTCTGCTGGCAATAATAACCGTGCTTTCCTCCTTGGCAGGGATGCTTTAAGAAAAAAAAACTCAGGTAAGGTGCATGCACTGCTTCTGGATGATTTCAAGCACATTATGATTGCTAACTATTATGATTGCATGGCATTTATATCCTGCTTTTCTTCCTTTTGCAAGGAATCCAAGGTGGCCTACAAGGTTCTCCTCCTCTTAATCTTATCCTCACAACAACAGCCCTGTGAGGTAGGTTAGCCTGAGAAGAAGCTACTGGCCCAAAGTCACCCAGTGAACTTTGTGGCTGAGTAGAGACTTGTTATACCCCCTGAGGACCAGCCCAGGAATCTAACCACTAAGCCACACTGGCTCTTTTTATCTGTGGTGTTATACTTAGCATTTATAGAGTGAATATTAAATGTTAATGCACTAGAGTAGTGGTGCTGAGCCTTGTTCAGCCCAGGGGCCAGAATTAGTGCCAGAGAAGCTCTTGGGCAGCACTCCAGGGATGGGCAAGGCCAAGGAGAACAAGGGTGAGGCCAAAGTGCCAAAGCTCCCGGGATCTTTGATCTGAAAGCTCTTCCTGCGAGGAACAAAGTCTTAGGAGAAGCGTTTCAACCATTCAGAACAGGGAGGAAATCATGCAAAAGCCAGGAAACTACCCAAACAATAGACAATGGAGGGGAAGCAGCAACCTGCCGGTGATGTGGGGAAGGGCATGTGGTCATCCTGGAGGGCCTGACTGGGAGCCTGGGCAGCTGCATGTGGTCCCTGGGCCGGAAGTGTTGTGCCCTTAAGAGACTCTTAAGAATGGAAGGGGCTGGAACAAGACTGCCCTGCATGGCTGCCGCCACCATCCCTGGTCTGAAGGTCCTCTACAGATGATCTCAAGAGGCCTACATCAGCCTTCTGTGCACAAGCACATGGGTCACTGATGCGGTTGTGGTTTTTTTGTGGCATGGTTGCCACTGTAAAACAACTTCCCTCTGCTGCTCATCTTACCGAAAGGCATCGCTCACGGCCATTGCCCAGATCTTGGGATCACCTGATGAATGTTTGTTGTGCCCACTTATCAGTTGCGCCCCTGTTGTCCTGGCACAGTGGCAACCTCTGAATGTCCTGATGTGGGCTGTGGACCAGGGCAGTAACTGAGCTTCAGAGCCCAGCGATTCTAGCAGCGTTGGAAGTGAAATCATGTTGAGATTTGTTCAGTGTCAGCCAACTGGTTCTAATACCTGATAAAGAACTTTAATTCTGTGGGATGGCCATTAGTAAGCTATTTTATCTTGGCCAAAATCTTACTAAGCAGTGACCACTTTAGTTCTTAAAGCTTTTGCTGTTGTCAGCCTAGTTGTTAATTGAAGTAATTACACAATTAATACATTTAATACTAAGACTCAGTTTTTAATGGAGTCCGAGAGAGAGAGATTCAATGTGTTGGAATCACAGTAAACTCATCATATCTCAAATTGCTCAGTGTATTTTCTTCCTTAGAAAATGTTGTGATAGGACCACCAACAGTGTCATTAATCCATATTTAATAACACTACAAGTAATCTGTTCATAATAGTAAATGATTTAATTTTTTCTGCAACTCTTTGTACTAGGCATAATGAGGACCCAGTCCCAAAGGGGAATGTAGATCTTACTCAAAGATGATTGGTTCCAGAGTGAAGGAGACACAAGAAGCTCTGAATTAATACTTAGCAAAACATTTTTGAGGCTTAAATTAAAATTCTGGGTTACCATATAAGGACAGAGGAATAAGTGATTTTCATGCTCACCAAGAGTCCCAGAAAACAAACTTGTGGCTTGCTTCACCTCATTTCTTGCATTCAATCATACTCTTCCTTTTGTTAAAACAGGAAGAGTATACATTTCAAATGGGAAAAATGCACATTTTAAAGAAAGTGGTGTGCTCAAAAGTGAACACCCCCCCCCGCAGAATAAGGTGTGCATTTTCCATTAAAACCACACACACACACTTTTTTCCAACATGAAAATTTCCAACATGGGGAATTTGCAAAAAATTTGGAGAACTTCTGCTCCTGCTTGCATTCACATTTAGATGACAAACAGCAGGATTTGCTAACACAATCACAATTCTTGTCCCTCGTAGTCATCACACTACCAGCGTTCATGGTCCATATCAGGACTGTTGCCACCCTGCTGTGTGAATGGTCCTCACACTTATTTTACATACAACTACGCTTTAACCTAATGATCACATCTCTTGAATTTCACTGGACTACAGTCCCCATCATACCCAGCCAGCATGGCCAGTGTTTAAGAGGTCAAATAAAAGGTCTGGCCTTGTGCTTCGGTTGCTTGAGAAAACATCCACCTCCAAGTCACCTTTTTCTCTTCTTACTTAGCCAATCCACTGGGACTCCTCATAGCTAATCTCCTGTCACCTGCAATTGTGCAGGAAGACAAAGATATTCCATTACTGGTAAGTGAAAATCATCAATTTAGAATTCCCCACCACTTCCGTATCCTTGGCACAAGAGCCAACCCCTTTTCGTTCCTTTAAAAATCCTTGGCTGGGGTTGTGTTTTCCAGCTTGGTGTGTACGCAGGCCCTGCTGCATTTGCTTGTGTCTTGGCAACCTTTGGCGTTCATCAGAAGGTTCCTCCGACACCTCCGTCAGCCAGCGCCTTTCAGTCTGATTCTCTGTCATTCTCCGGAGGCCTGAAGATGGTACGTGGCAAGTGAGGCAACATAGTGAACTGGGGAACTGAGCTTACCAAGGTTATGCCAGATCAGGTGGCTGGTCCATCTGGCTCAGTGTTGCCTCTTGAACAGCCCTGCCCTGCCTCTTAGTCAAGAACCTTGATGAGGAGATGCCAGGAATTAATTCTCTCCTCTGCTGCATACACATTATGGGGTCTGCTCCTCCTCTCCTACGGCTCCTCCAAAATGTAAGCCTCCAGTCTAGCCCTGGGCCTCCAAGGTGGTGCCCTTGGACAACCCTCCTGCTGCTTGCCAGACTCTCTGCTCCTCCTGATTTTTAGTTGTTTCTTACCATTTTTCTAGAGCCATCTTCTTAACTGGGAGACTGATACAGTAGAGAGCAAAGGCCTGCCCTGCAGTGCCGGCTTTATATGATTTTGGAAGAGCGGCTTTGCATTTTGGAACTCAAACCTTCACCTGGAGGGTTCTTGGACAAGTTAATGACCAGTTTGCCTTCCGGTAAATGTGGATTTTCTGACTGCTCATGTCTACTGTGGCAGCCATTCTTGGAGGGCATTCAAGACACCCTCTGCAAATCCCAGATGTGAGCACTGACCCCCCAAAACCAGGGACCTCTGAACTTGGTATGCTGCGTGTTAGAAGTGGCCATCTGTGTACATATCCCAGCTGATGCACAGTTGCCAACTGGGGTCTAAGACATCGTGGGGCCCTTGCAGACACTTGGTGACACCATTGAGCAGTTCAGGAAGGACATCAAAGTTGGAGCTAAATGGTGCTTCCATCTGCATCTCCCCCTCTGACACACACACACACACGCGCACGCTCCTGCCAAGTGGTTGATAGACACAACTGGCTTTTGCATGTGTGAACCAGACTGCTGGGCACACATGCCATTGAATTAGGGCCAAGTTCTACAAGATTCTTGTAGATGTATCAAGTGACACATCCAGGCTGTTAAAAAGGCACCTCTGGAGCAAACCTGCTCTCCAGTCTTTTTTCTCAAAGCTCCCAAGAAGGAAAAGGGCATGCTCAGATATCAGAACTAACAAGGTGAATAGGCACAAGGAACATGAGAATTACTCCCTGGGATGCCTGTAGCAGCCCCCTTGGGTTGCAGTGGACTTTTGAACAGTCCGTTGACTTGTGTACCTGCTTGCAAACACCTCTGGCTAGTCGGCGACTTCCATCCTCCTGATATTCCTCGGTTCCCCCTCCCACTTTAGCTTTTCCCTGAGGTCCCTGCCCTATAGGACAGCCTTTTCTGGGAATGGAGGAGGTTGCAGTGGGGAGGAGCCAGAGGCAAATCCTGCCTTGTGCTGGCATTTGGACACAAACCAGTCCTTCTGATGGCTCGCAGCTGCACACGGAAGCACGTTTGGACAGCACGGCAGGGGAGGGGAGTGTATGCTCAGGCTGGCAGGATTCATTCTGCCATGCCTCTTTTGCACCTGCAAGTCCTCATCGGCTGCTTCCAAAGGAGAGGTAGCACAGTGGGACCATGGAAATGTCACACAGACCAAAAAGCTCCCTCTTGGTGACCAGTGACTTCATCAGTTTTCTCCATTTTTTTTGGATTCACTAGTTTTGCATGATGGAGAGAAAAATCCCTTTCGTGGGCAACTTGGTTGTTGCACCAAAGGAAGGTGTAGCTTCAAAAGACAAAATTACAAGAAAGCATGCTTCCTCAGCCTGGTGCCCCCCAGGGGTTCTGGGCTCCTATTTCCAGCATTCCTGGCCAGTGGCCATCCTGTCTGGGGCTGATAGGAGCTGAAGTTCAAAACATCTGGATGGTGCCAGCGTGGAGGACACTGCAGCTGCAACAGTCCCCCAAATCACACTGGTGCACCACCTTTTAACCTTTCCATTGCTCCCAGTGAGGTTGCGGTGGCCCGTGTGGAGCCTTCCTATTTTCACAACAACCCTGAGAGTCAAGGTGTAGCAAGTGATGCTTCATAATCCTGGCTTGTTCGACACACCCTCGCTTGAATTAGCCGCCATTCCTGCTTCAAACAAAAAGACTGATGGCTCCAAATGGTCGCATGGACTCACTTGCTGGAAAAGCAGTGCTGCTTCCTGACCAGTCCTCCTTCTTTTCCATGCTCAGCTGCTGCGGAACAAGGCCTACCTCATCCTGGCCGCCAGCCTTGGGAGTGGGATAGCGCTAGTCACATGCTACAGCGCTCTGCTGGAACAGATCCTCTGTGTGAACGGGTATTCAGATGTAAGTCACGGCACACTTCTTGCAGGACTTTGTCCTCTGGGGAAGGGGCAGGGCTCGTAGGTGAGCGGGGAGACTGAGAACATGCCCGATACAAAGCGAAGAAGATGCCACCTGAAGTCTTGTGGGGAGCAGTGGATGTGGTGGGTCTCGGGGTGCCTTTTCTCAAGGGAGTCCAAGGTAAAGTTTCTGGCTTGGGGGCCTGCCACTGGCTGGGTTTTGGCATTCGGCACCTTAAGCAGGAGAATGTTCCTGAACAACCAGGGGAAATACCCCGATTGCTTTCTAGTGATACATTCTGATCTGAAGAATGTGCCACCTCTTGTTCTTTGGTTTGTGCAACGCAACCTCTGAATCCATCATGTTTTACAGTCTTTTGCAGGCATGTGTGGTGCTTTCTTCACAGTGTTCGGATTAATTGGTGCCTTCTTCCTTGGCCTGTATGTTGACAGGACAAAGAAATTTACAGAAGTTACCAAGATCTGCTTTTGTCTAACTGCACTGGCTAGTACTGCATTTGCAGTGGTAAGTAGTTAAGACTAAATAGTGCCTCAAACAACGTAGTCCTGGAGATGTCTACTCAGAATTGTCCCATTGTGCCTGATCCCATACTGGACTGACCCCCTTGCACTTGATTATTCATTTCATTAGCTTTTATTCTTTTAGCTTTTATATACTGTTCATTCGGTGGACAATCTCCAAACAGCTTGAATTGCCTGTTGGGGCAAACTCTGACCTAGTTTCACTCTAATGTAGTCACTGCAGTCATGCTGTTTCATTTTTAAATCCTACATATAGAAAGAGCTCCTTACATCATGTTGACATAACTCCAAGATAGTCCTCTTTCATATGACCAGACTCAAAAGTACACTGTACCATCTGTCTTTAAAATCTTCTGTTCTTCTAGACTTTGCTTTTGAAAAGTCTTTTGTCTGATCGACAATTGTTGTTATGTGCCAACAAGTTGTCTCTAACTTATGTTATCCTAGGAATGCCCTTCAAAATGGCCTGTCCTAGTCCTGCTTAGCTTTTGTTAACTCAAACCTGTGACTTTCTTTATGGAATTGATCCATCTCACTGTTGGTCTCTTCCTGCTTTTCCTCTTCGGCCTTCAACCTTCCCTAGCCTGACTGTCCTTCTCCGGAGTCTTACAAATTTCCACGTGCCTGTTTCATGAAGGCTTGGCAGTTGATGCACTTGTCCGCTTATTTTATTTTCTTTGAGAGGGAAATAAAGGTTGGTTGGGGGTGGGTAGGGGGTAAAGGGATTAAGGTAGAGGGGGATATAAGTCAATAAGGTAGGAGGTTTAGGAAGATTTGGAATTTAAGAAAGATACACAATGAGGAATTTGTGAGGGAAATCGAAAGTAGACTGAGAGAACCTGAGGACAGCGAACGGCGGTTGAAAGCAGACTGGCAATAGGGTGGGGACTCCGCCTATTTATACAAGGGGGAGGGATGTGGAGTTCCCGCCAAAAATGTTAGTAGCTGAGAGAATTTTCCCGAATGCAGGCATTGCACAGGCATAGCTCCCATATGTGTGATGCACAGAGACCACGACTTGATTGTCTTTCAGTCAGTCCAGAGTGTTTGCAAAGCTTTTTTCCATCACCATGTTTTAAACACATCAGTGTTCTTCCAGCTTTTTTCTTCCAGCTTTTGCACCCATCGTGACTGGAAATACAATAGTGTGGATTCTCTTCGCCTTCATCTCCAGTGAAACAGCCTTACTCTTGATTATCTTTTCTAGTTCCTCCATTGCTGCCCTTCCAAGTGTCAGTCTGCCTCTAATTTCTTGGCTGTAGTCTCCATTTGAATTGATGAATGAGCCAAGATATGCAAACTCTTTCCCAATGTCAATTCCTTCATTATGAACAATTAAGTTCTGTCATTCTTCTTTAGTCATTTTTGTTTTCTCACTGCTCAGCTGCAGTCCTGATCCTCTTTCAGAAGTAGCTGACCACTGCCTCTTTCCGCACATTGCTGTTGTTTTTGAAAAATCCTGCCAGTGTCACTTTCAGCTACTGCTACTTCCCAGTCCCTTCAGAAGTTTCTTTGCCATATGACCATTGGAGTTACCCATCCACTTCTGCCGATGTGACATTACTCCTGAAGAGGGTGGGTGCACCTTAGTCTGGTGTCTCTGCTTTCACCATCCCACCTTGGGGGGCCTTGCAGAGAACCCAGCCTGATGAGAGAGTCTGTTCTCCTAGGGGATAATTGCCTTCAGCCCCTCTGACCCTCTCAAACCCCCTCGCCATATTAGGGGTGCATCCAAGAGGGGGCTGATTAACAATACATATTCTAGGTGGCCATTCCTCAATATTCTAGTAATCCTTTCCACTGGTTATCAAAACTGAAATAGCTGTTGCTTTATTCAGCACAATGCCAAGCAAACCGAAAATTAGTTTTGGGGTTTTTCTTTAACTTTCTACCTCAGAATTCCCTTTCCAGATCAATTGGTTTGCCAAGACAACCCAATACACCTGCCACAGAAGCCCTACATTGCATATTGCGGAAAATTTGGGAACATTCTGAATGCAAAGATCATAGGGCTAGGCCTTACTGTCATGCCCCATGACTCAAGTGTGCCTTCAAATATGCCCAATATCTTTCTGCAGGAGACTTCTGACAGTGCGAGGAAAGCTCCCCTTTGTGGAAGACCTGTTTCCAATGAATTTCTAGGGTTCCTCAGCTTGGAAACCACAAAGAAAGCAGGCAGTGTGCCTCTGAGGCAACATAAAATGGTGGCTGAAATCAACCCATTCCAAGTAGATCCAGGATTTCTGAGGTCCAAGACTTCTGAGGATCAAAAGAGTCAGAAGAGTAGCAGCTCATCCTTCAGCATGCCCCAGTAAGCTAGAAGCCGGAAGAATGATCTCAGCAAGGCATGCAGGGTAGTTAGGGAGGGCAACATTCCGGGCCCCGCTTGACTGAGGTAGTGGACAGCTGGGAGGCTTCGCAAAGGGGCTCTCCACCCTAGGTACAAGTCTGCTCCTTATCCTGAGCTGGAAAGCTTTGTCCTTCTAGAACCCATGAACGGGATTGCCTTAACTTTGTTGTGTGGAGCAGGAGGGTCGTGCTACAAACAAGGGGAGACAGATGCATCAGTATCCCACCTTCAGCATAGCCTTTCCTCCTGCAGATGTCTCACTACAGAAACCAGACCTATGCCGTGGCCACCTTCAGCGCCCTCTTCGGGTTATTTGGATTTGCTCTCTATCCTGTCGCAATGGAACTAGCCGTCGAGTGCTCTTACCCAGTGGGGGAAGGAACCTCATCAGGACTTATTTTCGTGATGAGGTAAGTAGCAGAAATGAGACAGATTCCTTCACCCATTGAAGCAGAAATGGGACGATGCTGAATTTTCTCTTCTGCGCAACAATGTGTCATGGGCAACAGGGTTAACCCCAGATCTGGTCCTCCGGGGGTTTCTTTCAGGCTTCCCCAGATAGCTACACCCTCTTTCCTCCAGCCGCCCGTCCTTTAGTCGTTTCCAGGCTTTGTGCCATTTCTGAAAGGTCGAAATGCCTCTCCTACAGCTTGGCAATAGGCAGTGAGAGCTTTACGCTCCCACAGGCAAATGCCTTCCTGTTTATAATTTGGCCCCATTTGTGTATTTTGGCCCCATCCAGCCCTGGAGTGCAGCCCTTAGCAGCTTGCCTGAAATAAAGTTCAGCCCTCCACCGCCGTAAGAGGCGCACTCTCTCCAGCAAGGAGGCGGGCTTGCCCAGCTTTCAAGAGCCACATAGGCTGCTTATCTGATTTTCTTTGATATTAGCTGCTTCCAGGCTGGAGCTAAGCAATTGCTTCCTGGCACGCTTAAAAAGGCATCCCGTGGAAGGGACTCTGTGCAGAGAGGGGATAATGGTGCTGGATGCTGTGAAGGATGTGCAATTAAGTGTTTCCCAGGATAGAAGGGCTTTCTCTTCTCTGTCTTGCTTGGCTCAGGTCTAATCCTCCCTCCCTCCTTCCCAGTGCAGGGCTTTCCCCATGTTGAAATTAAAGTGCACGGACAGGGCTGCAAAGCAAGCACTTATTCAAGTGATGCAAGTCTCAGAAAACAGACTAAGTCAACTTTCGAGAGAGCAAGGGATGTTTCGTCTTCATGGGATGCCGAATTCTCAATGGATAGGGCCAGGCTGCCCCGTCTCCAATCCCGTGGCCAATTTAGTTGCCTAAAATGCACTATAGAGGCTGGGGTGAAGATTAACTTTCCCAGATCTTTCAGCAGTGAGGCACCGGCAGTCGGAGTGAGAGCATCCACACAGCCATGCACTGTGTTCCCCTGGGTGCTACAGGGGGAAAGCCTGCTTTTCAAAAGCAGTCATAGATCTCCAGAAAGGGTCTCTCTCCCCTTCCTCCCTTCCAAATTAATCCCAGAGGTTCACTGGTTGCCTTCCTTCCAGCTTTCTTCCTTAACTTCCTAGCTCAGAAGCCAGGTGAGGAGTTTCTCTGGCTTCTTGTGGGGAAAGAGAATTCTGACCTGGGTTCCACACCAATTTTTTCGCTTGGGGTATGTTAGCACATGTTCAGCGCCACCTCTGCCAAGCACAAGATGTGAAGCAGAGGAAAGCTTCAAGTCAAGGAAGGAGAAATAAGCAAGTGTTCTGGGACCAGACCCAGTTCACTGGCAGATTCCTACTTGACTGAGCAGGCAGAAGATGCTCATCTGGGCCAGTACAGATTCCACTGGGACATGATAGGAATCCAGGGAAAGCAAAGATAAAATATCTATTCTAGGAACACAAGCCACCATCAAGTGCAAATATCCCACTGCAAAATCGTCAGGCTTAGAGTTGGGGTGTCAGTAAGCACGAGATAACAAGGGTAAACTGAATAATGGTCCGTTTTGTCTTGAACAGCCAGCTGCTAGGAATGCTGTACATGTTCTTGTTCCAAAGCCTGGCTGTGAAGAAGGAAGAGGCCCCATTCTCAACTTGCACTGTAGCCAGCGGCGGAGCGCTAGACTGGACAAGTAAGTGCTTTCTCCAGTAATACAGAGCGATACTTGGCTGGGCTTTGAGGTTCTAGGCAGCTTCTCTGCTCCATTGCCTGGTGGGGAGGCTCTCTGAAAAAGGCACAAGGCCCCTCGCTGGGAAGAAATGCCGTAGGTGTTCACAAGGCTCAGGGCCAAACTTCATATAAGGTTGGTTATTCACTCTTTTCTTAAGGTTCAGAGCCTGAGTCAGTTTCCTTCAAAAAGGAGAAGAATCACCTCTGGCTCCTATTTGCTTGCAAAGACGCTGTTTGCCACCAACTGTACCTTGGCGGTGGAGAAGAAAGAAAGAGAGCAAGAGCGAGCAAAGAATCCAGGGAGGCAGAAGATGACTTGGAGGCTCAGGAGTGGTGGCAAGCTCTCCTTCCTCACCTCACGTGTGTTAGGTGGAGGGAGACTGCCTCAACGTTTTCACGGCAGCTTCCTGGGGCTGCTTAGGAAGGGCGTCGGGCAGCAGCTGCAAGTGAAAGCTGGCAGTCTATCCATAGCAAGGCTGTTCTCAGGACCACAGTTCTTCCCAAGATTCGACGTAGGGAAAAAGCCAAGAGCTGAGCCAAATGTAGCAGTATTGAATGAAGCGACTGTTCACTGTGGAACGAAAAGCCCCCATGGAGGAATTTTCCCCAGGGCTTCTTGTGGCAGTGCCCATTTTCAGCGCTTGAGCTGTAGCCGTAGCTTGGTGTTGCGTGTGGGGTGGGTTGCTGGGGTGGCTTCTTTGTAGGTTATCTGTTGAGATGGAATCAGTGTTACAGATGTATGAATATTGCTCTGAAGATCTTTGGGTGCTGAGGCCCAAATCCACGCTGGTGTCCCAGCGTTACATTGCAGGAGAATAGTGTTTGTATTCCATTTAGCCTGACATGCCTGAGCCTGTGTAATCCTGGAAGCTGTGCAGGGTCAGGCCCGGTCGAAATCTGGATGGGTGACTTAAATGTTATGAACTGCCCAGAGAGCTTCAGCTATGGGCAGTATAGAAATGGGAGGAGAAGGAAAGATATTGAGCTTTTGTTTCATACTATTTGGCAATTTGAAGCTGCAAGATAATAATCTGGTCTTTGATACACCCTCTTGCCTTGTTCTGTCCAGCTGCTCATTCATTCATTCATTCATTAGTTTTCTATCCCACCCCTTTGGTTAAATCTTTCCTGATTTCTGTAATGGCTGGTTTTAGTTGTAGATCCTATCTGTTTAAAATGTAATCTTCAGCTTAATTAAACTGGTAAACAAGTTTGGCTCACTTGTCTGTAGTTCAGTTACTCAGTAGTGGAGCCCTACACGTGACCTCTCAGAAATCAGGCTTATCATGTCTTAGGACTCTGTCCCAGGTAAGTAGATTTAAGACAGCACTGTCAGTTGACCCAGCTAATTTAATCTGTTTTTAAGACCAGCATCCATACCACATATTTAGAAATGAAGTACTGATGAAGCATCTTCCTCTTCCTATCGTAGCTTCCACCCTGGTAATGGCCGGACTCTCCTGCGCAACGGCCTGTACATTTGTTGTCAGCTTCCACACGGATTACAAGAGGATCTCGGCAGAGACTTCTCGTGGCTGCTCAGTCAACCCAGTGGAAGATGGTGCAGTGACGGCACAAAGCTGAAATGCTTCCCGTTGACTTTCAGAGGAACACAAGTGCCTAAAGACAGTCGTTGATCCCTCAGTGACCTCAGGTGCCACAGCTACATAAAACAGCAGGATAAGTTTTATCTGGACAGAAATGGATAGGAGCAAAACTTGCTGCTTAACTATAGAGCTCCTGCTTCTGAAGTCCAGATATGAGTGCGGATAATTGCATAACAAGTACAGCACCATCTGTACACAGGAGTGCAGTATCAGCAGGCTTGAAGGAAAAGCAGGTTGCTTACCTGTACCTGATGTTCTTCGAGTGGCCATCTGTGCAGTCACACATATGGGTACTGCGCCTGCGCAGTGCCTTTGACCGGAAGATTGATAGCTAACGGTTTGGCGGGAAAACTCCGCTCCCCTCCCCCCCTAGCAGTATATATGGAGCAGAGTGTCCGCCATTTTCCAGTCTTTGACAGACCGGACGTTCGCTCTCTAAAGAATAAATTATAACTAAATGAAGGAAAAAAACGTCGTCAGTATCAACGGTAAGAAGAAAAAATACTGTGTAGGTACCGAGGACAAAAATAGCACAGTACCAAAAAAAAAAAAAAACCACAATACCACCCAATGACACCAAGTGGGGCCGGCGGGTGGGTTGTGTGACTGCACAGATGGCCACTTGAAGAACATCAGTTACAGGTAAGCAACCTGCTTTTCTTCGTCCTGGCCTCTGTGCATCACACATATGAGTAGATTAGCAAGCTTACCCCAACTGGAGGAGGGAGGTGTCATCAACGAAGAATAGTTGAAAGAATGGCTCTGCCCAAGGAACAGTCCTGTCTAGCCTGAACATCCAGTCTATAATGCTTAGCGAATGTACATGGAGTAGCCCAGGTGGCAGCTTTGCAGACATCGTCGATCGGAACTCCCGATGCAAAGACTGAAGAAGCAGCTACAGCTCTAGTAGAATGACCCCTGGGAATTGTAGGTAAGTCTATCTTGGCCAACTGATAGGACAGAATAATAGTGTGAACTATCCACTTGGAAAGTCTCTGAGGGGTAACTGGAAAACCTTGATTTTGCTCAGAGTACTTAATGAAGAGGTTATTGGAATGTCTAATAGACTCAGTCCTCGATCTGTAGAAGGCTAGGCAACGCCGTATGCTGAGCGTGTGTAAGGACCTCTCAGTCAGATTCGAAGGAGATGAAAAAAATGGGTAAGACAATCTCCTGGCCCATGTGGAAAGAGGTAGCCACTTTTGGAAGAAAAGACGGATCCATTTGTAGAACTACTTTCCCCCTATGAAAGTTCAAATATGGAGGGTCTACCCTGAGGGCACAGAGCTCACTAGCTCTCTGGGCTGAAGTAACTGCTACAAGGAAAGCAGTTTTCCAAGAGACAAGGTGCAAATCAATTGTTGCCAAAGGTTCGAAAGGAGATCTTGTTAGTGCTTGTAGCACCACTGAAGGACTCCAAGTAGGCATAAGCGGTCTGACCGTCGGATGGATGTTATGGAGTCCTTTAAGAAATCTCTTTACCAGTGGTTGAGAAAAAATGGAAGAACCTTGAACTGCACCACGGTAATAGGAAATTGCTGCCGTATACACTCTTACGGAGGATGGTTTAAGTCCAGAACGGTGGAGTTGTAAGAGGAACTTGGAGGATATGATCTATGGATGCAGAATTTGGCGAAAACGAGTGAGATTCAGCAAAGATAGAGAATCTACACCACTTCGCCGCATACCATTTTTGAGTGGACGGCCTTAGTGCAGAATCGAGAATACGATGGATGTCTGGATGAAAAACTCGCGAACCCGACAGAATATTCGTCGGATCCGAAGACATAGAGAAGGTAGATGAATTCGAAACATGGAAGAGCGTGCCGGATCCGGAGACAGGATCAGTAGAAACTGCAGATGACATCGGTACCAAGTAGACGCTGACTGCTATCGAATTCGCCAGGCTGTCAATTTCAGTGATGCTAGATCCGGGTGGTGAATCGTGCCTTCCCGCTGAGTTATTAGATAAGGAATGGTGGGTATTTTAGAATATTATGAGATACATACCGAAAAACCAATGGCTTTATTGTTCATGGATGCCCAAAAAGCCTTTGATAATGTTAACTGGCAATTTATGAAGCAACAGATGATTGAAATGGAGTTTGGTGAAAAATCTATGAATGCGATATCAAGTATTTATCAAAAACAGTCGGCCAGGATCTTAATTAATGGAGAACTTTCAAACCCTATAGCGATCCAAAAGGGCACAAGACAAGGATGTCCGCTGTCACCCCTTTTGTTTATTTTGATCTTAGAGGTACTGAATAGATGTGTTAGGGATGACAAGGACATCAAAGGAACTAGAATTAGGGACGAAAGTTATAAATTGCAAGCCTTTGCGGATGATTTGGTTTTTATAACGGAGGAACCTTCTGTAACAATGCCTAAACTTCTACAACGGATTGAGGAATATGGTGAAGCTACGGGAATGAAAATAGAGAAAAAAATGAAATTGTTAGTTAAAAACCTTACACAAGAACAAAAAGACTCCAGGAACAAGTAGATTTGCAGATTGTTAAAAAGGTTAAATACTTGGGAATCTACCCAAATGTACCACTTTGAAAGAAGATAATTATGATAAATTATTGAAGGATATTAAAGATGTTTTGGAAAAATGGGCCAATTTACAATTACCTTTGATGGGAAGAACAGCACTTGTTAAAATGAACATATTACCTAAACTTCTGTTTCTGTTTCAAATGATTCCCGTAAAAATTGATAAAAAATTATTTGATGACTTAAATTTTTATATCTCAAGATTTATCTGGAGAAAAAAGAAACCAAGGATTAAATTAAAAATGCTTCAGGAAGCTAAAAAGAATGGAGGTTTTGGTCTTCCTTATTGGATCTTGTATTACCAAGCATCTGTTCTAACTTGGCTAAAAGAATGGATAATGTTGCAAAATAAGAGAATTTTGTATCTTGAAGTTCATGACTTACAGATGGGATGGCATGCTTATCTGTGGTATGAAAAAGCTAAGTCACATGGGTCGTTTCTGAGTCATTTTATTAGAAGATCTTTAATGTCAGTGTGGGAAAAACTAAGCTAAAACTGTATAATAAATTACCAAGATGGCTTTCACCTATGGAAGCTTTTGTATATCCAAATGTATTGAACTTTGAAAAGATCATAAGATATGGCGATATCTTGGAGAAGGATGGTGGCCTGAAACTGGAGCAAGAAATACAAGAACAAGGACTTAATATTTCCTGGTGGTATAAGGTACAGATGCAATCGAGATATGCTAAAGATTGTAAAACATGGGGGTTCTACAAAGACCTAACAGAATTTGATCAAGTGATGCTTAAAACAGATGAGAAAATTATTAAAAGACTATATGATTTTTTACTTGACAGTGGAAGGAGAACAGGGTAAGGAAACTATGATAACGTGGGCACAAAACTTTGGATTTAATGTTGAACTAGAAAAGTGGCAAAAACTATGGGAAAGAAACATTAAAGCAACATTAGCAACTTCATATAAAGAAAATTTATATAAAAAGTTCTATAGATGGTATTTGTCACAAAGTCGATTAGCTAAGATGTTTCCAAATATGTCAAATAGATGTTGGAAATGTAAACGTAAAGTGGGTACATTTTATCATATGTGGTGGACTTGTGATAATGCAAAAAATACTGGATTAAAATACATGGATGGAGGAAATATTACAAAAACCCTTTGTCTTTAAACCCAAAGTTTTCTTGTTAGGCATCATACCAGAAGACGTTAACAGACAGGAAATGTATCTGATACTGCATCTAATCACAGCGGCAAGGATTGCATTTGCTCAATATTGGAACAGTGAGATCTTGGACTGTGCAGAAATGGAAAGATTGACTTTATTGTTGAAGGAGAAAGAGGATACTGATTTCTATCGAACTTGGGACTCTTTCTATAATTAGCTGGAGAAACGGGAATTGGCGTAAATTTAGAGATGTTTTTTAAACTATTATAAACTGATTTGAAATTTGACTTGAGAATGTTAAAAAATATGTAGTAGGAGGTTAACCCAGTAAATCCAATGTTTGCCATGTTTGATGTTTTTTAGTGTTAGTTTAAAATGTTAATAAAATATATTTTAAAAAAATAAGGAATGGGAGGAAGTTGAAGGTATTCTTCTCGAGAAATGTGAAGAAGTGTCGAAAACCATGGTTGGCGTGGCCACCAAGGAGTTATTAGCAGTCCTGTGGCTCCGTCGTGGATTATCTTTGCTATTACTCTCATAATGAGGGGAATCGGGGGAAAGCATAAAAGTTCATATTGTTCCAAGGGATCATAAAGGCATCCCTGGACTACGAACGGCGGTTGCAAAGACTGGAAAATGGCAGACACTCTGCTACATAGTTACTGCTAGGGGGAGGGGAGCGGAGTTTTCCCGCCAAACCATTAGCTATCAATCTTCCGGCCAAAGGCACTGCACAGGCGCAGTACCCATAGGTGTGATGCACAGAGGTCACGACGAAGAACCTTAAGGTTTGCAGAAGTAGGAAAAAATAGGGGGGGAAAGAGCAAGGGAAGACTTGCAGTCCAATGAGGACAGACAGTGACCACGAAACACCAACAGTTGGTGGGAAGAAGGGAACAGGAAAGTGGGTGGACTGGAGCATCTTGGAAGGAGACATAGCTGACTAACTGAAGTATTGGGCAGGAGCATTTTTTTTTGTTTAGTTGCAAAGTCGTGCCCAACCAATCATGACCCCATGGACAACATTCCTCCAGGCTCTCCTGTCCTCCACCATCCCTCAGAGTCCACCCAAGCCCACACCCACCACTCCAGTGACTCCATCTAGCCACCCCATCCTTTGTTGTCCCCTTCTCCTTTTGCCATCTATTGTTCCCAGCATTAGGCTCTTCTCCAGGGAGTCCTTCCTTCTCATTAGGTGGCCAAAGTATTTGAGTTTCATCTTCAGGATATGGCCTTCTAAAGAGCAGTCAGGGTTGATCTCCTCTAAGACTGACTGGTTTGATCACCTTGCAGTCCAAAGGACTCGCAGGAGTCTCCTCCAGCACCACAATTCAAAGGCCTCAGTTCTTCAGCGCTCAGCCTTCCTTATGGTCCAGCTTTCACAGCCATACATTGCAACTGGGAAAACCATAGCCTTGACTATACGCACTTTTGTTGGCAGGGTGATGTCTCTGCGTTTTAGTATGCTATCTAGATTTGCCATAGCTTTCCTCCCCAGGAGCAAGCA